AGTTTCTTTGATATATTGCCCAATAAGCGATCCGATGTCCTTATGACTTTTTGAAACAGACTCAATATACCCAATATATATTAATCCATGAATTATATATATTTTTAAAATAGTAAAAGTAACTCACTCATTTTACAAAAAAAAAATTAATATAATAAAATTTGGAATATAACACAATTTAATTGCCTAAAAATATACTTCAACTAATGCGTGCCATTCTCTTCCTCTACGTTCCCGTCGTCTTGGCTGAGTAGAACTTTTACGTGAAGTGTTTTTTTTTTGTTTTCTATTTATTGAAATGTTTCAAAAGTACTAAATTGAAGAATTCTTCCATCAATTGTTATCATGAATAAGTTTGATTTCCTTATCTACCCCAATTATTTTCTTCTTTTTACGTCTTTTCTTTATGCCAAATGACAATGCTCGCATATTAGATACAGATAAGCACTATAAATGTGTTTGCACGTAACTTGGAGCAAACTTGCAGGAAAATTGGAATCATAAAAAAAATTTATTCTCAATACTTTTTTTATAGAAAAACCAATAAAAAAAATTATTTTTGGCACACACGTGTGACTTTATTTTGTGCATATTACGAAATAAAAATGGAATAAAAAGGTTGCACCTTCAGTTTAGAATCATTGAAGACAAAACTTGTTAGGTGAAAAATAAAAATTGATTTGAATTGAATTTCCTATGGATTTAAGCAATTACAATAAAGATACTTATGTAGATTGTTAGACCTGTAGGATTCATATAGATTTTATTTCTTTCAACACGTTTGGAAGACTTGTCTATAAAGATTTTTAACTAAATCATGATGTACAAATATATAAACCAAGTAAGGACATATAGTATATATTTCTTCTTCTTATTTGGCGCTACAGTCCAGCGTGAACCTTGGCCTACTTCACAACCTGCCTCCATCTGCTTCGATTTTGTGCACTTATTTTCCAATTTAGAACTCCAGGCTTTCTGGCGTCCTCGTACACATTTTTCTACCATTTTCGCTTCGATCTGACTGTCATATTATCGGATTAGCATTAAATATATTGGCCGGATTTCTTTTAGGTCCCATTCTTACAACATAAGCTGCCCATTGCAGTCCTTGTTCTTTTCGTTGTTTGTTTGTCTTCTAATTGTCTCGTCGTCCATTCAAGTATATATTTAGAGATATTATTTAAATAAGGTTTCCAATAAGCCAAAATATTACTGTCTGATTTAACACACAACGTCTACAATAGATTGATTTTGTCATGAATATTGCATTCAGTTCCATATTTTCTATTAAATATGCAAATATATGACTACCAAATTCACCATCCAACGTCTATAATTGGATGGTATTCACTTCTACATTTTCTATCCAATAAGCAAATATATGACTATCAGATTCGACACCGAATAGATAAATAGGGGAGATACGATAGATAGATAGATCACAATGGATAGATTTTGTGCAGATTGTTGCATACCCTGTTAAAGTTATGCCAATGTCTAATTTAAAGGCTGAATCAGTTGGTCTCTTCTACGTTCATGTATTTTGTGATTCGTGAAAAAAACAAAATACAAGTATCTCCAGCTCGCAAGTCAAATATGCTATTAGAAGATATAACTGTTTACGCTATTCTTATTATTTAGTCAAATAGAGTTAAAGAAATACGATAAGTTCGCCATTATTATCTCAACTAGACCAGTGAATGAACGATGTTCTGGACATTGAAATTGGTTAGTCTGTAGTCCTGGAAAGAGACTTAGAACGAGATTGATAGATTTCACCTCTTTCTCATTATGGCAACTATCCAGACTAATGAATAACGCACCAAACAACGTAAACAGCCAGATAAAAAGAAAGAAGTATGGTTGGAATGGACAGACACTGCGTAAGCCTTATAAAGATATCGCGCATGCTGCACTTACTTACAGACCAGCACTGATCTGGAGGACAGTTCAGCAGGAGACGATCAAATCGTTTAACGAGTTGAGAGCAATAGCACAAAATAGAAACCAGTGGAAAACATTTGTAGACTCCTTAAGCTCCTGATGGAGTATGGAAATAGTAATAACAATAAATACAGCCTGAAGTACCGCCGCATTGTTCTAGTGCACAGTTGACACTACAATAAGCGATCGACTACTTATTATCATTTATTTATAATTTATATTATTTAATTATTATTAAATAATAATTTATTATTATTTATTTATTCATTAATTATTATTATTAAAGCAGACACTACATATAAATTAAAGCCCAATTATTTCTTAAATATGAAGAAAAGCGATTTTAAAAAGTTATCTTCATCTATTGAAATTGAAAACTACTGTATCGAATTGATTATATAAAATTTATTGCATTAATTTATCTTATAGTACAACATTAAAAATTTCATCCATTTCTAAAACGTTTTTGGTTACATATTTATATGATAGATTTATATCTTAAATAACTAAAATATAAAGTCCTACCAACTATCCAAGGAGCTGTATCTTTTTTCGAAGTATAAACTCAAGATGCTCGTTTTTCAAAATAAGGGTTTTAGTTTTTTCTGCGATTCTAAGTGATTATTTGCAACAGCTCTTGCATTCTTGTTCGTGTAGAATATTTGTAGTAACTGCGTTAAAACAATTTTTCCTTTTTCCAGCGAGCGTTTTCGTTGCGAGTTTTCACTGACCATTAATTTTTCGGTAGTCGCTAGTCTAAATAGTGTAGGTTTGTAAACCTAATTTTCTGCATTATCAGCATCTTTAACAGCATTTAATTCTTCTGCAATTGATTTTAAAGAGTTTCAAAATGCTATTTATTAGTTACAATTATGTAAACATTTTATAAAACTAGCTTTAACTTAAAACGCTATATGCATTATTTTTTGAGTCGCTTCGACAATGTTAAATGGGTACTGACTTACAGTGTCATTCCCTAAAAATAAAGAAGCTGCATTATTAATAAGGAAAATAGAATTAATGTGAACTCTTACCACCATCACCAAAACTATCGCGCCATCCAAATAACTTATCATCCAATTTACTACCGGAACAATTTTCTCGGATATATTGGAAGCACCACGCTTCCGGTGGGTTCCATGCTTTTTCGCTGCCACTATCTGCTTCAATTGTCATTTTTAATTTGTATATTTATTCACAACAATTTGCAAGAAAAACTTTTAATCGTTGTTTTTAATTTAGTTTGTGCTGATAAAAGTAACAACCAGCAAAAAAATTTCAAAATAA